GACAGCACCGACGTAGTGATTCAGCAACTCGATGCTCACCAGCTAGCACACCGCCTGATGCCAAAGAACCTGTCATGGTTTTTCTTCCATAGGTAGGTCCAACCTAAGCCGGACAGCATATGAAATATTAATTAAAGTACAATATTCCAATTAAAAACTTACAAGAGACGCTGCTGCTGTCACTGCATAGTCAAGCTCGAGGCTAGATATTCTGCTAGTTTTATGAATGCCCTTCATGGAGCAGAACCTCTGTAAGGATCTAATGCTGATCCCTCTTTCATTAGGATACCGTTCCTTCAAGTATGACAAAATCTTCGTGTGAGTCCATCGCTTTTTCTACCTTTTCTCTGATAAAACCTTCAATTCTTGTAAAGAAAGACATTTTAACCAACAGCAACAGTTATTAATTGGGGTGGTTTGGGTTTTGGAAATGAACACGTGACAACACGTGAATCATGCAAATAGAGGTGTGGCTGGCTAGCTACTGATATATAAGCAGCTATGTCATTTGGCACTTTATCTAGTCAATTTAAGTCCTGTTTCAATCTATAGTTCTCATCTTCATCTTCACTCTTCTTCTCATAGGCGGCTGCAGGATTTGACTACTAGTCGGGCATGGGTGTGGCACAGGAAATGGGTTGGGCGCGCGAAGCGCGCCGCGATTTTGGCCACACCCTCTTTTACGCACCCTTTTTAGCACAATTTTTTGGTAGCGAAGGTTATTGTAATAAAGTAGTGGGTGGTGTAGCTCCAACACTGACTTCTGTAGTGGTAATAGTACTAGTAGTAGTATTAGACTATTAGTAGAGGAAGTAGAAGAATAGGGTGATGGAGAATGAGCAACAATTGACTGTACATCAACTGTAGCTGTAAAAACTGTAGCTGTATCAACCACAAGAGTAGACTGAGACTCATGATCATCAACTCTCAGCAAGAAACTGATCTAAAGTAAGAATTATGAGATAATCTGTATTATTGACTTCTATACTGTACTTACTAGGTTCACTTCAGTTGTAAACTGTTGTTCCTTTTTAGCAGGCTTGTTCACAAAGGACATAGTGAAGCTAGTCCAGACTTTTAGACATTGCAACTGACAAGAAAAGAACACTGAAATAGCACTAAATAATGAAATGATTATGCTTTCTAGTGTTGCTGTGGTGGCCCACTGTGATTGGCACCAAAGTCTTACCACCTCGAGCTCCTCCTTTATTTAGTCTCTCTTCTTCACCTTGTTATCAGCCTGCCATTTATGCATTCATAATTATAAGATTTTCATAAAAAAATTGAAATTATAATTGCAATAAGGCCACTCCAATTTGATTCCTTGTTTCCCATTACCCGCCCGCATGGGGCCGCATCGCTATTCATTATTGCGGTTTTTCATTGATTATACAAGCAATTTATACAGCTGATAATGAATAAATTTAATGAAAATGAACAAACCCGCCCGCCCGCATCAGGCCCGCCTCTGTAATGGGAAACTATGAATCTTATTGGAGTGGCCTAACTGTTATTAACTATTAATTAACCACAGAATAATTATTAATTATGGTGATGTCACACTTCCGGTCAGAATTTTTGGTCGGGCATTGCCCCTAAATGCCCGACCCTGCAGCCGCCTATGCTTCTTCTGTTAGTCCACAGTAGTTCTACATGGCTCGCTCTACAGACCGTAAAGTTTTTCTGCAACGCAACGGCAAGACAACTGTAGTCAACAAAGATAAAGTCACTACAGAAACACTAAGTACTCTATTCCACGTATAGCTATGTCAGTCATGCTCTGCAAACGGTTTTATATGTCAATT